CTTGCTATATTTATTTTATGTATTTTCTAAAACCTACAGTGCTTGAATTACCAAGGTCTCAATGGTCGCTATGGCAACTGGGCCCTGGAGTTCTATCTGTCAAGGAAGGGCCCAGGTTGGTTGCAAAATTTTTAGTTAATATATTGGCCTTATAGGAATATGTTAAATAACTTTTACAGTTTATGATGGATTACTTGGCCATGGCAATGCTCCGACTCACTGAATGAGCATTGACAAGACTGAGTGTGTCCTGTGGTCTGCACTTGAAGGAAGTGCAGACCACATGCTTCTACAGTTGACCACCAGTGAGCCAGCCAGTAGCACTTTCAGGGATGTTGCCAACACCCACTGGATCACCAAGAATCCTGCTAGCAGATCCTCCTTTTATCGTTTTCTTCTCACTTGACCGGTGAATGAAATCAACATTTGACTATCCCTAAAACATCAACCATCTTTTTTCCAATCACTCATCACATGTTTTGACTCCATGAGCAAAATTGGGAACCCTGAAATAAAATTAACATGTTTGGCCATTACTTAAGTAAATTTGATTGCGATTTGGCTACATTTTGGTAGGGTGCTCAAACGATCACACTATGGGCAAAAATTCAGACAAATTACAGTCCATAAAAAATCAAATTTCCAAGCCTATAATGTATTAAGAAACTTTTGGAATTTCTTAGATTTGGGGTGATATATACATATATATGTATTCTAAGTGTGCCTAGATCTGTCTTTTCTTTTTAAATAAAGAAATAGTTTCTTGTATTTTACATGTGACAGCTTTCTACATATTATATAATAAACAATGAATGCTACATAGATAAATATGCCAGGATGTCAACTCGCTGTACTTAAGAACAGTGAAAGGTCTATTGTATGGGGGTTCTCTTGTGTCTTTGAAAACAAATCATATTTCTGCAAAGCCTTTGTGATATTTTTACCATTGAGAATATACACATGTCCAGTAATTTAAATTGCAAACAGATTCATTTTTAAGATACATTATCTTAGAGTATTTTTTATTAGTACAACTAGTTCTTTTCAATTCTCAGCCAACCTTGCAGTTCAACGTACCAAACTCAGTTTGTTTCCCAGTATCGAGGGAATTAAATGCTCTGTATGGAACATCTAGTACCAGCTTACAGTATATAGAAATCGATTATTTATAGTGGTGTTACAGTCTACAATTTTAAGTACAGACAAAAAAAAAATATTTTGTACGTTCTTCCCAAAGCACTATAATATTTATTAATATTGCATTCTTAGTGCACATTTAACCACATGGTAAACAGGATGAATCATCGTGTTTTACAAGACAATTTAATTTAAATCTAACTGGAATAGACCAGTTAGATTTTTTTTTTTTAATTAGAATGCTGATATATTTTAGGACAATTTGGTACTGCTGTCCAAAGCAGCATGTAGAGCATTAGTTTCACTTCACAACATAGACATTACATAAGTGCTTAGTCCTGTAAAAAAAAAGCTGTGGAGGACGTTTTTTTCTAATAGTGGAAAGTGTACAGTGATGGCACATACGTGAAGTGAAGTAAATGAAGTGCAGTAAACATGGTTGTGTATGAGACGGACCCTCCGTCAATCGATGCTCCTTGTGCTTACCAAGGACCATCAGCACCACACCAGACACCATAAGCACTGCACACACCACGAACTGCCGCAGCTAGGTTGGGGTCTCGCTGTCACCTACCCACCCTGGACCCATGACAAGGCTCCAGGCTCCAGACAGTTAAGCAGGAATAGCTCTTAAAAGAGCTTAGTGATTATAGCCCAGGGGAGTATACAGAGTATAGCAATTCCCCAGTGTAGATGCAGCCTTTTCCCCCACACATGAGATGAGGCTCTATGTTGGGGGTAAAACAGGAACTCAGCAGATCTGAGGGTTTATTGTCTTTTATACAGTTTTCCCCACAAGGTCACCACCCGGGTTATATCCCCTGATCAGAGCAGGGGTTCAGGACACATTTGTCCGTCCGCACGCACATTTTCATGCCCAAAACAGTTCCAGAGAATTAGGCTGTGTGGCCAGTCTATTTCCAATACTAAGTTCGGTTTGAATGCGAGAACGGGGGCCGTTCATGCAAATAGTCAATGTGAAAGTGGCGTTCGAATTGTTGAATGCCGTTCGACTCCTGTCGAAGTGCCAGAGAAGGTAAAGTTCAGCAGTATTCGTGCTGTCGTGTGTCTCATTTGAGTTCCATGAACTCGACGACAAAACACAGCAAGAGGCTGGAAAGTAACCCAGTGGCAAGGTTACTTTCGCCAAAGTGTACAAGAAGTTTCAATGGGTGATACCATTCTTACAGTCATGTGGCTGAATTTCAATATGTAAAACCCCTAAAGGCTCACATCATTCCTACAGCCAGGGAGAGAGGAGGAGTGAATGGACTCTACCATTTCACTGTCAGCTTTATATAAGCAGTCCAGAGATTAAGAAAGATTGCTATAGCAGTTTTAAATAGTTACTTTAGAAATATATGATTTAAGTGTATTTACTATAAATTTGTATTACACTCAAACACAGACATTCATTTTTTCAATTCTTTTGGGATATTTAGTAAGCTGTATTGCTAGCAATGCCTTCAGGGTCATTGAAAATACCTATAAGCAATGTATTTGACCATTTTTATTTATATATTTTGTCATGCCTACTCTTTGTGAGAAAAGTTGTATTTTTGCTTTTATGCTAACATTTTTAGACCCTGTGGGAAATATTGCAAAACAATGGGCACTGTATATTGTCAAAACTTTATGTAAGTGTATATAATTTTAATTCTTATATTTGTCTGCAAAACAATCTATAAAATTGCTGTGTTATCAGCGTCTCCATTCTGCATGGAGATGCTGAACTTTCCTCATAGATATGCATTCAGATGCTGATTGGCCAAGCCAGCATTTGGCCCCGGCCCATCCTACCTCCTTGCTGATCTCAGTCAATCCAATGCTTTCACTATGGGAAAGCATTGGATTGGCTGAAATCATCAATTCTGATTATGTCAGTCAAGGAGGTAGATCGGGGGAGGGTCCAATGCTGGCAGACCCGTGCAACACTGGAAATAGGTGAGTTTTATAATTTTTACACAGGTGGAAAGGAGGGGAAAGCCACCTAAATGGTGGTTTTAACACTATAGGGTCAGTAATACATGTTTGTGTTCCTGACCCTATAGTGCTCCTTTAATTAAGGTAAAAAAATGGGAATAATCAAATTGGAAAACAAAGACTATTTTGCTATTGTGCAGCTCATGTGTCTTTTCCTGAAATCAGATCAATTTCCAAAATTCCTTGTTATGTAAACAATAATGTCAGTTAACCTTTTGGCTGTATCATACAGGGTAAAGCAGAACAGATTACGCAGTTTTGAGGGGTTATAAAAAATTAACTGAGGTATATGGAGAAAAACTGTTTTTATTTTTTATTTCAGCAGTAAATATCATTTTATATCCATTAAGTTTTGAAAATAATTTCCTTGAGCAAATGGCCATTAGCAGCAACACACTGTTGAAGACGATCTCTGAAGTTTTGTACAGCTCGTTCACACATATTGCGGGATATGGCGTTAACTTCTTCAATAAACTGCTCCCTTAGCTCTGGTAGGGTGTGAGGGCGATGTTTGAATACTTTTTCTTCCAGATATTCCCAAAGAAAAAAATTACAAATGCTCAAATCTGGTGACCGCGTTGGCCACCCCACATCACCCCTCAGAGAGACCAGACATCCGGGAAACATTTCTTTCAAAACATTGAGTGAATTTCGGGCTGTGTGGGCTATAGCCCCATCCAGTTGGAACCAGAACTCCCCCAATTCTTCTTCTTCAACAATCTCTTCCATTCTGGGCTGTAGAAAATTTTCCAACATTGAGACATAATGTTCAGAATTCACAGTCACGCCTTCCTCATCAAAAAAGTACGGGCCGAATTGTGATACAGCACACCACACCGTTAGTTTAAGGGAATGTAGAGGTCTTTCATGAAACATTCGGGGGTTATTTTGAGCCCAGTAGAGGAAATTTTGCTTATTCACAGCCCCTCTGAGATGAAAATGTGTCTCGTCGCTATTGAAGAAAACTGCTGCGGGAGGGATCTGTACAAGTATTTGCTCACACAGATTTCTGCGGTTGGCATAATCTGCTACACTCAATTCCTGAGTCAACATCATCTTGTAGGGATGAAACTGTAAATCTAAATGAAGAATCCTTCTCAGACTGCGGTCTGACATCCCCAAAGAAACAGCATGCTTTCAGCAGAACATCCTGGCGACTGCTCAATTGCTGCTCTCACCAGCTGCACATTTTCCGGTGTTCTTATGGACCTGCGTTGGCCATGTCTACTACTTCTAAGCATGGTACCAGTTTCCTCCAACCGCTTAACCCATGACCAAATTGTTTTGCTTTAGGAATGGCTTTGTTGCGCGGAATGTTGAACCATCGCCGAAAACCTCTTTGCATCGTGATCACAGACTGGCTGTTTTCTAAATATGCCCACACAGCAAAGCTGTACTCCAGTCCAAACCATATTGGCTACTAAAATGGGATGACGGACAGAACATAATGGGTCCAAGTGCACCTGCCTCCCCCCACCACAGCCAGAGCAATGACCCCTCAAAACTGCTTAATCGGTTCTGCTGCACCCTGAATATTCCAAAATAAGCTGCTCTGTAGATGATAAAGCCCTGAACTGATACAGTGAAGCCTTGGTAAAGACCTTCAAGACCATTGGATCTGAAGATCTTTACTTAGCAGTCACCAAGGCCCTTGAACTCAAGATCAGCACCAGGTTTGCCCACATCAGCAGCCAGCTGTGTTCTGGCAAAGTCAAGAGGGTAGACAAAGCAGAGGGAAGTGGCACCAGCAGCACCAACAGATGCCAGGTTAGCAGCAAATCAGTGTCTGAATAGGGTCCTCTTATCAATATCGTTCCGGAAAATCTTCTTGTACTTGTCCTTGAAGGCTAAGTTAAGTTCTTGAGTTGGGAAATATCATATCACGTTGGCAAGGTTACCGCACCAGAAAGACAGGAAACCTTGTTCTTTGGGAATACAGACAACACAGCCCAAATGCCCTTGTACTGCCTGTCAGCGGTGATCTGTTTGCTTGCAGGCTGGACTTGCAGGAGAAGCTTGACTCTCTCAATGGGGGCTAGAGCAGTCTTGGAGATGGCAGCAGACACACCACCGGCCAGGAAGTCCTTGGCCAATGAGATGGCCGTGTTGCTAATGGTGATTTGCTGGTTCGGTCGGTGTGTAGCTCCTGTTGCAGCCATGAAAGATTCCAAAGGCTGAGCCAAAGTTTTGTTTTGATTTTCTTTTGGTCAGAATGTGTATGACTGCCTCCGTCCTTAAGGAGTTAATATATTCTGAAGGAAATCCCTGTCTAAGAAGCTTTGATAAAGCATTTGTGATATTGGTGAACTAAGTAAGAAGCTGCAGAATTTTTCTGACTATTGAAAATGAAAACAAGACTTCATACAAAGACAAAAGGGACTTAAGCAAAACTCAAGATAATGTTTAAGCAACGCATCAAACAATCAGATGAAATACTTTAGCTTGGTATTGAAAAGTTACTCTTGTGTTAACAACCAACTTCCAAAATTCAGCTTCAAGTAGTTTGAAATTCTGTAAGTTAATAGAATTCAATAAACATAATTTTTTATTAAATACCTAGCTCATCCTCTGATGGCCTTAGTACTTGTGAACTCGTCGCAAACATTTGTATTATGCCCATAATTCAATTTTGTTAATATTCTAAAAAGCACAGTATCACCATATTTCTTCATCATGTAAAATGATTAAGGCTTGATAAATTAACATTATAAATAACCATGTAAAAATGCTTAGTATTTATCCTCTCCATTATTTTAAATTTTTCTGTTCATTAACCAGTTCTTGCCTGACCATCCTGGATAAGACACATATTTAGCTAGACTTACATAACCTGATGTGGTTGGGAAATGATAATGCTTGATATCTAATTGCATTGCAATGTAAATTGTACCCTTAAGGGAAATAAATGTGCTCGGCTGCATTTGCCCTGTGCAAAACAAGCTCATCCCAATTCTAACTTCACTGCCAAAGGCAATTGACTCTCAGTGTATATAGCAGTGACCTTGGATTAGTTCACTTCAATTACTTTCCTTAATTCCGAACCCCTGGCAAACACAGGCTCTTCTTCACAGCTGTCACTACTTAACCTATTCATTTCAGTATAAAGTTTATTTGAAATATGTTTGAGTACTTTTCAAATAATATATGGTATTGAATGAAGGTGAGACAGGTACGTCAAAAACAATAATTTAAAAGTTTGAAATTGATGTTCTATCAATGTTAAATTAGCCAATCATTTTACCGTAAGATACTTTTTTTACATTTTGGTAGTAATTAGTAAAATGATTTGACATGTTCAATACAAGCAATAAAAAATGAACTCTTTATGGTTACAACATCTATAGGCTCATTTCCAATGTTGCACTTGCTTTTTACCAGTTAGTTGATACTTGGTAAAATACTTGTTGTTACTTTTAGTGAGTAACAGCCATCAACTTCAAAACCAGTTATGAGATGGAGTTACCGAACCCCTTAGTGACTAGACTGATTTTCAATGTTCTTACTGTTAAGGACAAGGGCTCTTTTTACATTTCTGCGGAGTTTGTGTTTAGCTGTAATTTTCCTCTTACTAATTTACTGTACCTACACATATTATATATTGTTTTTCTCAACATTAAATGGTATTTCTAAAGATACCATTATTTTCATCATATCATACAATTTACTATAAAGCAAATTATAAAATATGATGAAAAATGTAAAAAACACACTTTTTCAAACTTTAACCCCCAAAATCTGTTAAGCATCTACAATCGCCAAAATTTAACCATGCTAAATAGTTTCTAAATTTTGTCCTGAGTTTAGAAATACTCAATGTTAACATACTCTTAGCTTTTTTTTTGTGGAAAATTATAGAGCTATAAGTACAAGTACAAGCGCTTTGCTATTTCCACACCGTTTTTTTTTCAAAATTAACTAAAGCTACATTGTAACACTGGTATCTGTCAGGAATCCCTGAATAACCCTTCACATGTATGTAATTTTTAAAAGAAGACAACCTAAGGTATTAAACATGTGATATTTTGACTCTTTTCATGCAACCATTGTACCACCAATCTATGCCAACTTAAAAAAAAATTAATAATAATTGGTGATTTTTTTGACATATGTATGTATGTGACATGTGTATATATATATATATATATATATGTGTGTGTATATATATATATATAAATATATATATATATAATACAGAATCCAGCACACTCGCTTATTCACTAAACAATGCTTTCAAAATCTTAGAGATTGTAATAGTTTTATTTAAAAACACCTCACCTAGGCAAATAATAATGGGGGTTTAGTTACATTATATGATCATATATTGCATAAGCCTGCCACAACGTCAATGTACCCCATTCTTGGCAGGTCTTGGCAATATATGATCATATAATGTAACTAAACCCCCATTATTTTTTGCCTAGGTGAGGTGTTTTTAAATAAAACTATTACAATCTCTAAGATTTTGAAAGCATTGTTTAGTGAATAAGCGAGTGTGCTGGATTCTGTATTTTGTATATTTTGGCCCCAGCAGCACCCTATAATGTATGCATGTTTAGGTGAGTGCAGCCCTCTTGGTTTTGGTTTTGTTTATATATATATATATATATATATATATATATATATATTTATTTATTTATTTTTTATTAACTTTATTTTTTTTTTTTTACCTTTTCTTTTTACCAGCAGGGGGACTGCCTGTCAGTTCAGGCAGTCCCCCTGCTGGAAGCACTGTGGACACCTATTGCGGCCATGTGATACATGGCCCCTGGGGGTCCTTAATTTCAGAGAGGGGACTGTCTGGGCTGAGCCCATAGAAGAAGACTGATTGCCGGCTGGGGAACGGCGGCGATCGGTAAGTACATGGGAGAGGGAGGGAGAGAAGGGGTTAAATATTTTATTTATTTATTTTATTTTTTAAATTTTATTTTATTTAATGATTTATTTTATGTCCTCGGTTCTTAAGGAATCTTTTTTGTCGGACGTACCAGATATGTCCTTGGTCACGATGGGGTTAAAGCCATTAACTAACCAGTGGCTAATGGCTCCCATTATTCTTTTATGGGAGACACTAACCAATATAATTAACAACTGGTTTCTGAATGTTTTTTCAAATCTATCACTACTGTTTAATGACTGCCACTAACCATCAACACACCAACCTCCTGCCTGATACAAAGTAACTTACTTCCTATATATCCTATACAAAAAAAAAAATACATTAGCAAGATGGCATTACATGGACCCCCAATCCACATGTAAAATAATATTAAACCATGCAAAAAGCAATATAATTAAAGGATAGGCCTGGTGTATAGTATAAAACAGAAAAGTATTCTTTATGTAATTAATGTGCATGAGTCAATTAAATGAACTCCCATAGCAGAAATTAGCAACACAATATACACATATATACATATCTGGCATAAAATATGGCTATTGCGTGATTTGTTTGATTAGTGACTTGGCTACATTTTGGAGTTCGAGAATGCGAGCGATCCCCTGATTAGCCCAAATCCTTCCAAACATAACATAATAGTCTTTCATTCCTTATATGCAAAATTGTAGTGAAAAAAAAATTGGGCGAGAAAACTTGATTTGGAAAAAAATAAACATGTGGGTGAATTGCAATTCATATCAAAATGAATCTCCAAGTCTAGTAAGTGAAACTTTATGGACTGAAGTTTGTTTTACAAAGCAAAATAAAATAAAAATAAACGTGTATGCATGATTTTGGTAGTGAAGTGGCTAAGAGTTCATATTCATTCCTAAACACATAGTTTTATGGGTGCATTCCAAAGACTACAATTAGCTCCACAAAAACAATATGAATATCTTCAAACATTGCTTTCACAAAAGATTGTCATAATGAAATTAACTGGGAACAGTGTAGAAAAAAACAATTTCAGTCACCATTGTGCTGTCAAATAAATATAATTTGTCATTTTAATCAAAAATATAATACATTGTCTTTTAAAAAGATGTTCTTATCTCATAAACAGCAAAACAACCTTGCTGAAAAAAACTGTATATAATATTTCTATTTTTATTTGGAATATTTCATTCTTATGCAAGGAATGCATATGCTGAAATATTTGCACAAACAAAATATGAATTTTATAAATTGCCAACTTGAATTATTATGGAAGTACAGTTAAGTAGATCATTTATTTGAATTACAACCCACTGAAATTCTTTATTCTGACAATAAGTGGCCATTGTGTCTTTCTATAGGAAAAGAAAGGGGCTGAAAATCCTTTAATCCAATCTGTTTATCAATATATCCAACAGCTGTTTGGAATATTCCATGATATAAAATCTGCCTAAGTCCCGATGCATGAGAATTTCTGTGCTCTTATTGTATTGAGCTAATATACTCAATGATCAGTTCTGTCTAGATACATTTGGCTTTATAGCATATACAAGACATTAAAGACATGAGCCAGGTAATCATGCAAATATCATCTTCTAAACCTAGCTCTGTAAAGTCTGAGCTCTACTCTATTCTGTCTCAGTAAATAACATTTTGTTGAAGTGCTTAAGTGGGGGAACAATCTAAACTTGATCATTTGCAGCCTAAGAGCAGATTGTGTGAAAATGTTCCATAAAGATTATATTATATGTGAACTATATTCAGAAAAAAGGGCTCTACGTTACTCTTTGGTTTAAACAACATCACTAGATAAACATAATTTCTCTTATGGAGTACTTGTTGGGTTATCTCTGAAAAGACAGTGTTTACATGAAAATGCCTGCAGGGACATGCTATAGACACCAGAATAACTACATTAAGCTGTAGATGTTCTGGTGACTATAGTGTCCATTTAACCCCTTAAGGACACATGACATGTGTGACATGTCATGATTCCCTTTTATTCCAGAAGTTTGGTCCTTAAGGGGTTAAAACACTTGATTGTTTGTTAGGACTATACTAGAACATGCCCCAGCTTTTTTTCTTGAGTTTCGTGGCAATCATACTCCATGGCAGCAGCCACTTCTTGCCTCTGCTCTCATTAATATATCCACCCTAACTTTACTGGGATTCTGTTTCTCTCTGGCCCCAGCCCCTCGGCCTGGCATATGACCATTGGCGGACAGAATTAATGATAGTAGATGCTCTTCAGAAGAATGACTTAATTTCAGTGTTAGACAGTAAGTTCTG